GCGTAAATATTTAATTATTTATTTCAAATGTTAGAAATTTCTTTCAATTAATCTGTAATTAAATTTTAATTGCGTATTTTGATTATTAACATTTATTCATTATTTACATTTTTCTTTTATCATTTAAAGAATAATTAAATAATTATTTAAATAATAATTTAAAAACATTTCAATTATTTTAATTCTCATGAAAAAAAAATTAAAATAAAAAATTAATACTACAGACGGCCCAAACAGACTGCCTAGGCAATATGTTGCCATCTGACGGCATAGCCCGTCTTCCTCTTCTTGCAGATGACGGCATAGCTCGTCTTCCTCTTCTTGCAGAGGCCGTTTGTAAGAGACGGCCTCCGCCCGCCGGAGATCGCCATTTCTGGCGATCTCCAGCAACCAAACCTTGAAAAAACTTAGATATTCTACAAAGATTTTTACTACTATTTTCAATAAAATAAACCTTTAACATAGATTAATGGGGGAAAAATTAACCAAAACATACTTTCTCCGCTTCTAATGGTGGCCGGTCGGTCTCCTCCCAAGAAAAACTCGTCGATTTCCTTGTTTTTTCTTCTCCTTCTTTCTCCAGATGTCGGTTTGGAAGTGAAATGTCAGGGGTAATTTTGGGTTTTCAATGTTTTTAAGGTTTTTACAAATTTTTGATTTTTTTAAAACAGTAGTCAACGACCATTTTGGAAAACTGTATGTTTTTGGTGGCTATCTGCCACCATTTCCTCGGTTGAGAAGACCCATTTCTAACCCAACACACCACCTTCACCATCACAATTCCATCAGCATTTAATGCAGAGTAAAAAATCGAACCAAGCATTGCACTTCCCTACTGTTTATAACAATTACCGATTGTCGAAGGTAGCCGCCGGAAGTAGGTTTTTACCCGATTTTCAAGGGCTATGACTGGCGACTGTATTTTTTGCCTGGGCAACAATTCGAACACCATCTTGGGCTCGAATATTTTTGCAGATGCACCTAGAAAAATTCCTTCTTCGGGAATGAATAATGCTTCTAATATTTCCAGATTTTTGGGGACCATGCGAGTGATGTCTGCTACTATCCCCACAAGAGCAGTGACATTTTTCTGCATTTGTTGTTGTTTTCAAGCTTGGACCTTTTTTCTCCATTGCTTTGATTGGAATTGAAAATGATAACCAAGTGGCTTCCAAAAAAATGTTTTATCAGTAGCCATCTTCTCTACCTCATTATCTAGTGGCTGTTTTGTATTCATTTGCTGTTGGTTTCTTTCCCAAGAAATTTGAGAATATTGTGAATGAAGACTCTATTTTTACAAAGATTTCAGCAACTAAATAACTTCTCTTTTCCATGTGTTTGTGTTGCTTTGGATGATAATTTGTCACAAAACCAAATGGTGAATATGGCAGGCAATCACTTGTTGTCCGCCACTTTAATTTTTTGCCGGAAAATTCCATTCTTCACGCCTCTGTTAGTCGTTCCAGCCACTATGTTTTTTGGCCGAAAATAATCATTTTCATGGTGGGTTTTTCAACCCTTTGTTGGCAATTGCATGGCTAGAGCCATGGTCGGTAGATTCCTTTCTTCAAGGAAACCTTCAATTGCCGTTTTTCCTTTCTTTTGGTGGCTGATTCCCTCTATTTTTGGGTAGAAAAATCTGCCCAGAAAATGTTGTTGTCTTTCCTCTTTTTTAGTTGAAGAACTTATCGGAAAAATTCTTTCATTCCGATAGCTTTTGAGATGTGGTATAACATGGTTAACGTACCGTTTTTCACAGACGGCACCAATCTATTGACCTCCAAAAATGGCTCAAACAGGTTCCCTAATCTCGTCCCCTCGAAAATTGCACAAGTAGCACCCCATCAAAAGGCAAAGGTGGCAGAACGAGAAAAAGGTTCGGCGATCGTTTGCACTCCAACGGTCAAGTCAACGACTGGATAGAAATAGATATATAGAGTGCAATAGTATGGAGATGGGAGTTTGGCTAGAAAGTGTAGAACATACCTTAGTTGTGTGAATAATCCATATATATAGAGAAATAGAAGTGAAATGGGCCAAACAAGTTGGTGGGCCAAAATCCAAGCACAACAAGGAGGGGATCATATGAACATAATAATAGGTACTTCGACGAGCGCCTCGATTGAACTCCTTAGGACCTCGGTGACACCTCGACTGGCCTCGTCAGAGCCTTGGCTTTGGGGCCCAATTCTAATGGGACTCGTTCGAGTCCAATAAAATGACCCAGTATGAAGTGGTAATTTATAGGCGTAACAATCCCGAAAAAATTTGTAATTTAAAAATTATTGTTTAGTATGAGAATGTTTTTAAAATCGGACCAGACATCGACTCGAAAAAGAGAAAGAGTCAAGAGTCAAAAGGTTCAACCCCGGTTGAACCGGGTCAAACCGGAAGTAATAAATAAATATTTTTAAACATTTTTATTTATTTTGACAACAATAAGTTCTGAACAAAAACCTATGTTTTTATTATATAATAATTTTTTTGAAAAGAAATGTTTTAGAACAATATTGGATACCAAAATTAAATGAAAAAAATATAAACCCAAGTATTATAACAATAACATATTTATTTTAGCGTTACTAATTCAAAGTAAATTTAATCTACGTTTGTTAATTAGATGCATTATAATATAATTTATTTTAAAACTTCAAAAATTGAAATAATTTGTTGTAGTCTTTATTTAAATAAACCCATTTGTTTGTTTTTGCAATTGGAAGTCTTTGTCCCACATCGGTAATTGAATGCAAATGTGGAGAGAGACATGTCTTTAAAAGGGCGTGCTCGCCACCAACTCAAGAATGGATAGTATGGGCTTGTGGCTATAATCCATTAGCCCATTAAAGGAGTTGAAATTTTTGATAAACATAGTGCACAGGAACTGGTCAAATTGTGAACAATTTTTTGATTTACGGGTAAATCGCCCGGTTCTATGGTTTGTTGACCGGGTTTTCCTGTTCCAATTATTGTTGTGTACCAAAATCGAATTTTAGGCCGGTTCACGATTTTTTAGGTTGAACAGGCCAGTCCGGTCCAGTTTTAAATTTTCCCAATCTCTGCATCTTTTTACTAAACCATTTTCTAGCTGCAATTTTTTAGGGTATCGCTATATCCATCCACTTTTTTATAAGTACATCTCACTCTAACTTCATCCCTTATAAAATTTTTTAAATTTTAAAAAAATACTATTTACATTCACGTCATTTTCAATCTTGCCTCTATTAAATCCATTCATTTAAATACTATGTACTTGTTTGATAGGGATTTTGTTAATTGAGTTTTTGACCGCTAGAGATAATGTGGGTCCTACCTGTGAGAGAAGAATTCAACAATGACGACTGGAATAATGAAATAACGGTCAAAAAATTGATTTTAGGTTGTAGCAAACATGCTCTATATATCAACGTGAATTTTATATATTCATTCTAGTTTAAATACATTTCTAATACTATAGATTCACACCATCCCTATCTGAAACATTGGTTTCATCATCGTACTCAGCAGATTTTTTACGTCCCCTCACACTACCACCTCTACTTTCCTGATCATCAAACTTTTCTACTTTACCAAAGGCGGCAGCTCCATTGTTTGCCGCTTTCATCATCCATCTTTGGTACCCATCGACAGTTTTCCTCCTATTTTTCATCTTCTCTTCCGCTTCCTCCAAAGTGAGTTGCTTATATTGTGCCACTTTATTAAAAATGTACTAGGAACCAGCAAGAATGGCTACAAATTCCTTTCCCTGAAGCATTAGAAGGTCATATGTAGATGATTGTAAACCCTCAAGCTGAACGTGGTATTGAGACTGGCCAGTTTCATCCTCCAGCAGCCAAGGTTTATTTTTGTACTTATACCTCAAAGCATCAGTAATTTGGCGACCTTACTAGAAATAAAATTGTTTGCTCAAGCGATGAAACAATTAATTGTCAGCCACATAATTTTCAGAGCATTTTAGACAAAGAAAGAGAAAACATAATGGAGATGACATCGTTCACTCCAATAAGATGAAAGCACCTGTACTCCAATTAATGAAGGAAAACTCAACCAGAAAAGGAAAGAAGAAAAAGAAATTGAGATCTCGTCGAGTAGACAAACTTGTACAACCAGTGGGCAATTATTACATTTTCTTCATTGCATCTCTTAGCTGTAAGAGAAAACCATGAAAATAGCAGAAGATATAAACATTTGTTAACCCTCCTATTCTCCTAATATAAGGTCAAAAGAATCACAAGTGAAGAGAAGACGGCACGGAGAAGCCAGAATGAAACAATTTTATGTGGTTGCGTGTGTATGTATATGTATTGGCTCTCCCTTCTTTTTGTGTTTGCAGCAGCCAATGTATATATATATCTATTATGTCTATTTAAGTAAATTTATATAGGATTTAAAATATAATAAAATTTTATTTTTAAAAGTGGACGTACTTATAAAAAGGGTGAATGGAAATAGCGGTACCCATTTTTTATTGTCATTTCTTGAAATTATTAGTATCTGATTTTCAATTGAGTTATCCGGAGAAATGATTTTTATAGGTTGTCAAATTGTCTCTTTGAGTATGGAAGAAATCCAGATCTTAAGTGTCTATGCCAAATTTGAATCCTCCCTCCATGTTGTATTTGGTTTACGTATAACGGAAGTTATATGGTGACCATGGACTAATAACAAAGACGATACCATGAATGAGTTCACTCTTTTTATGGGCCCATGATGATGGTTGGCGAATATGTTCTTCAGCCAACAAGGGCCTCATATTCTAAAATTTTTCCTGGCTCCAATAAGTGATTATTACACCTGATAACTCTTTTTGTACCATGTTGCTGCCTTAGTTTTTTAGCACTTTCTTTCCTCTAACTTACTAATTTGATTAAGTTGAATGTAGGAATTCAACTCCTCAAGAATAGAGATCTTTGATTCTCTTTATTGTAAAATCCTTTTTTGATTGGCCAGCAAATCTTCCTTTATGAATAATTTTCAGGTCTTTAATATCGACCTGAATAGAAATGGCTTCAAAGAGGATTCAGAAAGAATTGAAGGACTTGCAGAAGGACCCTCCTGCATCTTTCTCAATCCCCTAGATTTTATTTCCATCTTAGATTTTCTAAGTTATAGAATATGTTTTCCTGTAATATCCTGATTCTTTCCATGCTAATGGAAATCTGAAATTGGTTTTTGCTTTTTCTATCTGAAGCTGATAAGTTTTTGTTTTCTGTACTCGAATTGAATCTTTTTGGTTCACAAAATCAACATTACTCTTCCTGGCAAGGAAGAGAACGGAGGTTGTTGCATGCACACTAAAGTCTTTTGTTACACCCCTAACTAAACCACTTCGAAACAACAGTCACACCATTCCCACATGTCCATCCCCTAGCTAAACCACTTCGGATCATCCCCTAGCTAAACCACTTCGGAATAAGCAGTCACACCACTCCCATGTGTCCATCCCCTAGCTAAACGACTTCGGAACAAACAGTCAAGCCACTCCCCGAAGTTTCACATGTTCACTCGAAGTGGTTTCGAAGTGATGCCCACTCCTGACGACCTCAACATGGCGCATTGCAAGGTGAAGAGTAGATCCACTGAAGCAACCGAAATGTTCCTCAACTCCGAAGCATTGAGCACTCTGAGACACTCCCTTAATAGATCCCTCCGCCGCCACTGCTAAAAAGATATCTGTCAGGATCCCCTCTGCCTCCAAAGATCAATTGATGTGACGTCTCCATAGGTTTAGTTGATGTGACTTATCAACTTTATGTCAACTCAGCTCAGAAGAACTAATCGTTCGCTCACTCTAGACGCGACTGATTGAAGCCTATGAGTGGACGCCTCATACCGTTAGATGCATATACGCGTCCCACATTCAGCGGTGCTCTACCTTTATAAATACCCAAAGTTTGGCAAGAGACAAAGGTAATGAAACTCTTATAACTTAGCTTTCCATACTAAGAAATATATATTCTTCTACACACTCTCTTGCATAACTTGAGCACTGTTCCGATCACCCAACGCTGACTTGACCATCGGAGTGTATACGATCTCCACCACCACTGCTAGTTCCGGTCGTGTGCTTTTGACCATGCTTTATTGTGCGCAGGGAGAATTATGTGGAGTAGCTATCCGTTGGCCAAGTGGAGGGTCCAATTCTCGAGGTCGACAGATTGATACCGTATGTGGAAAACTTTCTGTCCAAAAGAAGCCACTGGCAAACCATCGACTTACCCTGAAAAGGGCACGTTTTTGAAAAAGAACAAGGTCAACCTACAAAGTTCTTAACACCCTTGAAAGGATAAACAAAATGAGTTATAGTAATGATGATGCAAATTTTGAAGGGCACGGGGATGCCTCTGAAGAAGAGGTAATCAAGACCAATGTCACGCATCGGAGATCCCATCATCGGCGTCACCAAGGCAACAGAACATCACTCACTAAAGGAATGGCTCAAATAATAAGAGACATTGTCGCTCAGAATATGGCGATGCGTGAATTCTTCATGTAGGCCCGAGGTCATCAGGGCTTCCAGATGCCTCAAGGATCATATCTAGCTTAAGAAATTCCTGCGCCTCATGGCCGAGTCCATTCGAGTCAACACCGGGAACACCCTCTTGAAAGAGAAGTAGGTGTGGATGTGACGTCCTACGCGCAAGGAAGCCAACCAGCAGAACCACCACTAGAAGAGAAGTTCCCATCGGAATACGAACCCCAAAGGTCCGTCAGCATCTTCAACAGAATAGGGCAGAACCCTAGCAATAGGGTCCACTCCGTACAAAGATCAATCCGACAAGAGCAGGAGCAACAAGTACCTCCTCCGCCTAGAAATAAGCGGGAGAGGAAAAACCTAGTGGATTGGGGTAGTTGAGAAGAGGCACCTCCACCTCCCCAAAATTCATCTGAGGGGGAAGGCTCTGAAGGGCCATGCCGCTCCTACGAAATTGATGATGATGATGACAACCTCCCCTTCTCTAGAGAAATTCGAAGCTTTCCGATGTCTGCAAACTTCATGCCCCTTAAAATCCCAAAGTATGAAGGAAAAGGGGAACCACTGAGACACCTGACTAAGTACATGACGCGGATGAGCCTCAGAGGAGCCTCGTCGGCACTGAAATGTAGGGCCTTTCATCTAACCCTCACCGAAGCTGCTGAAGTATGGTACAACAGATTACCACTCTTGAGCATCAGAAGTGGCCAAACTTGAAAAAGGTAATTCTGAACCAATACCTTTCACGAAGGGAAGGAGAGGCCCCAGTGCAACGCTTGCAAGACATGAGGCAAGCTCGTGGCGAGATGCTGAAAAGCTGTCTCGCTAGATTCATCGATGAAATCACGTACTACGAGCAAGTCACTGACAGGGAGGCCCTTTCAACCTTGAATGGTGGCCTCAACATGAACACTCTGTTCTGGAGGGATGTACGTAGCAAGAATCCCACCACCTATGACGAGCTAGTTGAAATGATGAGGATGAAAATTGTCAATGAGGAGATGATTGACCATCGGAATCATGCGGCTTAGGGACTTTCCCTGCCCTAAAGGCAGATGAGTCAAGGGCCAACCGTGCACCTTGTCACCCAGCAATGGACCCAGGCCGATCACACAGTAGCCCCCACATCCGGATAGGCATTGGCTTCAGCCACTCTAAATGCAGTGCCAGTGCTAGCATATGAAAATACTCTTGCCGAGGCAGGGCCATTTGGGGGAACAAACAATCAGAAGAAGAATAAGCGATCAAACAAGCCCTTGGAAGGGGCAAGGTTCTGTACCTTTCACCAACTTTACAGACACGACACCAACGAATGTGGATATGTTCCTCGATTCTCGAGCTGAAGTAACTCATGCTCCTCGAGAAGGGTGAATACACCCACAAGTCCACCTCCCCGAATAGTGGAGAGAGGTGATATAAAGACCAATCAGTCCGGAGGAGAGAATCTAGGGACAGAGGAGAATCCAAGCATAGGGATCAGGCCCCATCTGGAGGCCAAGTTATCAGGAAAATTGATACAGTCCCCGTTCGGTAGCAATTTTTTTCAAAATGTATTTTTCTCTCTCTTTTTTTTCAACCACACATTCTTTATTAAAATAATATTACACGTAAATGAAATTTTTTTCCTTATTTCTCAACCACACATTTCACATCAATTTACTATTCTAAAATACATTTTTACATAAAATGCCTATCAAACACCCCCACAATCATTGGAGGACCTCACATCGGGGGCAATACGAGGAACGCCCAGAGGAACTATACAAGGGAAGCAAATGATCCACCAATGATTACTTACATTGTCAATCAGACCCAAGAGGCCAACAGGATGGCCTCGATCACTTTTTCTCAAGAAGATGCATAAGGAGTTCACCACTCCCATTGTGATGCGCTAGCGGTAAAACCGTAGTAGCTCGAAACGGACTTAAACACATGGTTTTCGACAATGGAAACTCGGTGAATATACTGTTCAAATCTGCCTTTGATAAAATGCAGATTCAACATGGGTTGATCCCCATGATCGACCCGCTATTTGGATTTACTAGTGACAGCATCGTCCCACGAGGGCGAATTACTTTGCCTGTTGAGATATGGCCAGTCCCCCTAGTAGCCCACCACTTCATGGAGTTCCTGATGGTGGACCACATATCAGCTACCATGGAGTATTGGGCCATGGAGTATTGGGCCGACTTGCCTTGAAAGATCTTTAGGCAGTTACATCCATCCATTACTTGTGTATGAAGTTCCCAACCGAACATGGGATTGCTACAGTTCGAGGCAACCAAATGGGCATAAGGGCATGTTACCTTAACTCTCTATGAAAATTCGAGCTTCACACTGTTAATGTCATCATAACAGAGGCAGGCAATGAAGTCGACATGGACATAGAGATGCTCGACGCCCTTGAACAAGGACACACCTCCGAACAAGAGGAAGACATCGACATGGTAGAGACCCCTGAAGAAGGGCACCTTCTTGATGAGTTGGATCCTCGAATTATCGAGTCCGAACCAAATGCGACTCCAATTGAAGAATTGAAAACTTTCCCCATCAACCTTGAAGACCTCACTCAGGTCTTGCGGATTGGGAAAACACTACCCCCCGAAGTGAAGGAAGAAGTGATGAACTTCCTGAAAAGGAACCTGGATGTCTTCGCCTGGAAGCACGAAGACATGGTGAGAATAGACCCAAGGATCAGTTGCCACCACCTTAATATCAACTCCTCCTGCGCCCCCACATTGGCAGAAAAGACGAGCCCTCAATTCAGAGCGATATGAGGCGCTCAAAGAAGAAGTCGACAAACTCAGTCGTCGTGGCTTCATCAGAGAAGCTATCTATCTAAAGTGGATATTCAACCCGATTCTCGTAAAGAAACCTAGTGAAAAATGGAGAGTGTGTATAGACTTCACAAATTTGAACAAAGCATGTCCCAAGGACAGCTTTCCTTTCCCAAAAATAGACCAACTGGTGGACTCCACTGCTGGACATGAACTCTTGATCTTCATGGATGCATACTCAAGGTACAACCAGATACCCATGTTCCAACCTGATGAGAAGTCCACATCGTTCATCACAGACAGAGGATTGTATCGCTATAAGGTGATGCCCTTCGGATTGAAAAATGTCGGAGCTACATACCAAAGGCTGGTCAACATGATGTTTGCCGAGCTCATTGGTAAAACTATGGAGGTCTACATGGACGACATACTAGTTAAAAGCCTCCAGGCGAAAGAACACATAAGTCAACTCGACCAGACCTTTCAGATTCTTAGAAAGTATAAAATGAAGTTGAACCCTTTGAAGTGCACCTTCGGGGTAGCTTCGGGTCAATTTCTAGGGTATATTGTGGACCAAAGAGGAATCGAGGCCAATCCGGAAAAGATAAGGGCCTTATTGAAAATGAGGTCGCCTCAAAAGCCAAAGGAGGTCCAAAGCCTCAACGGCCAGATAGCCGCACTCAGCCGCCTCATCTCCAGGGTCACTGACAACAGCCTACCCTTCTTCAAAATCTTGAAACAAAGAAAGAAGTTCCAATGGATGGATGAGTGCGAAGAAGCCTTCCAAGCGCTGAAGAAACACTTAGGAGAGG